GGACCGCTTATTGAGGGCAGCAAAGATACCAGATGAAGACCGAGTTGATATTGTTCAGCTACAGCTCATTAATGTAGCCAGGACATGGTGGGACGCCGAGGAGGAGAAGCTGCCTAGGCCGATTTCATGGGAGACGTTCCGGGAGAGTTTCCTAGAGGCATTTTTTCCGAAGACAGCTCGTCTTGAGATGCAGAGGCAGTTTGTTATGCTGAGGCAGAGAGCTAGTACAGTAGATGAGTATGCAGCAGAATTTGCCAAGCTCAGCAGGTTTGCCCCGGGAATGGTATCGAATGAGATGGATAAGGGACAGAGGTTCATGCAGGGTCTGAACTTTGAGATCCAGACTCAGATTTATAGTCAGAAGGGGGTTGAGACTTATGCGGATGTCCTAGAGGTAGCTCGGAAAGCAGAACAGTTGATTGGGATCATGAACTCAGTGAAGAGGGGGGCAAACAAGCGCCCCGCAGGACAGAACTCGGGAGGTAACCAGCAGAAGCCTCAGATGGGAGGAGCACCAGCCAAGCGCCAGCAGACAGGGGCTTCGAGACCAACTCCATAACCAACCAACATGATCTTCCATTTCTGCAGCAAGCCGGTGCACTTGATGAAGGACTGCAGGCGAGCTAACGGGTTGTGCTTAGCATGTGGGGCGGCGGATCATCATATCACCACTTGTCCTAGTAGAGGAGTTACAGGAGGATTTTCAGGTGGAGCAATAGTACCAGCAGGACAGACTAGACAGGGTGGACAACCGTTGAGGCCACCACTTCCTACACAGCAGCAAATGTTTCGAGGACATCAGAGGGGTCAACAATTTCAAGGCCAGAGACGGTGGAGAGGTCCTCATTTCCAGCACCCATTTCAGCCACCTTATCAGCAAAGGCACCCAGGGCAATACGGTCAGCAAACTCAGCAGCAGAGACAAGGTCAGGTTATGACACTTACCACTGAGCAGGCAGATGCATCTGAAGACGTAGTCACAGGTATCATTTTGGTTTATTCAGTCCCTGCATGTACCCTATTTGATTCTGGGGCATCGCACTGTTTTATATCTGCTCAATTCATTGCACGGCACACCATACCATGTGATGGTTTAGAGGCTAGCTGGAATATCCATACCGGTAGCGGGGTGTTAATGTCTAGTAGGGAGTGTAAGAGATGCCCAGTGGTAGTTTGTGGTAGGGAGCTATTTGCAGACTTGTTGGTGATTGACACTAACGGGTTCGATGTTATTTTGGGGATGGATTGGCTATACAACTTCCATGCAACGATTGACTGCCGACGCAGAAGTGTAGTGTTCAAGATACCAGGCCACCCAAAGTTTGAATTCATGAGCGGAAGCAAAGTGATGGAGCAACCGGAGTATCGAGTAGGCATGGATGGAGTATTAACCTGTATAGAGGTAGAGAAGAAGCCTATACCAGAAATTGTCAATGAGTTCCTTGATGTTTTCCCTGATGAGTTGCCGGGTTTGCCACCAGATCGAGATATAGAGTTCGTCATTGATATTATTCTAGGGGTTGCACCTATTTCAAAACCACCTTACCGGATGCCAATAGCAGATTTAGAAGAGTTGCGAAAGCAGGTCCAGGAGTATCTTGATAAGAGATTTATCAGGCTTAGTACTTCACCTTGGGGAGCACCAGTGGTGTTAGTGCCAAAGCCGGATGGTAGCCGAAGAATGTGTATTGATTACAGAGAATTGAATCGGGTTACTATCAAAAATAAATACCCAATTCCCAGGATTGATGACCTTTTTGATCAGCTCGGAGAAGCTCGGGTGTTTTCTAAGTTGGACCTCAGGTCAGGTTATCATCAGTTGAAGGTGAGGAAGGAAGACATACCCAAGACCACCTTCCACACACGATACGGGCACTATGAGTTTTGGTGATGCCATTCGGAGTGACAAATGCTCCATCTACATTTATGAGCTTGATGAACAAGGTGTTTTCCCAGTATCTTGACCAGTTTGTTGTGGTGTTCATCGATGACATTCTTGTGTACTCCAAGACCAAGGAAGATCATGCAGAGCATCTACGGACGGTGTTGGAAATCCTACGGAAGGAGAAGCTTTATGGAAAATTGAACAAGTGTGAGTTTTGGCTGGAGCAAGTGTCCTTCTTGGGGCATGTGATTTCAGGAGCAGGTATCTCTGTGGACCCGAAGAAGGTTGATGCGGTGTTGAGATTAGATTCGCCTACATCTGTGACAGAAGTACGAAGTTTCTTGGGGATGGCTGGATACTATAGGAAATTCATAAGAGATTTCGCTAAGATTGCAGGACCGCTTACTAGGCTGACCACTTACTAGGAGTCACATGATAAGTAGCGCCAGAATCAAGCATCCACTCTGATGCATCCAAATGGTTCACCTCCATCATCGCCTTTCGCAACATTCACCTCATTGGCCTTCGGGCCCTTATTCTTGCTATTCTCCTTTTCTTTGACTTTCGGACAGTCTCTCTTCCAATGTCCCTGCTCTTTGCAGAATGCACATTGGTTCTTTTCAAGCTGGTGACGACCTCTTGACTTTGACCTCCCTCTATTTCCACCTTTCTGATATGAGCTTCTACCTCTCGTTGACAAGGCCTCTCCTGAAATACTAGCGTGAGAAGTCTCCTTATCCTTCCTCCTCAAATCATAGTTCGTCAATGCGTTAGTCACTTCACTATAAGTGATAGAAGATCTCCCGTTCAACAACGTAAGCACGAAGGTATCATACTCCTTATCCGGTAAGGAGCCCAAAAGAATAATAGCCTTGTACTCATCTGTGATCTTCTCATCCACGTTCGCCAAGTCCGATAATAACTTAGTGTAGTTGTTCACATGAGCCGCAAGCGAGGTGCCTCTGGACATCTGAAATCTGAAAAATCTTCGCAGCAAGTGCAACCTGTTCTCAACACTCTTCGTGAGATACTTGTTGTTGAGAATCTCCCACATCTTCATTGCAGACGTCACCCCAATCACATCATATTTCAGTTCCTGTTCCAAACATGACCTGATCACCCCGCAAGCATTTCGATTCATCTTTTCCCATATCGCCTCTTCATATTTAGGTGGCCTCACATCGACCATGATGGTCTTCTCCAGATTTTGAGTATTGAGCGCATCTTGTACGTCGCTCATCCACAAACCAAAATTGATCTTGCCGTCATATTTCACTACACTAATCTTAGTGTTCTGAAAACTCACTTGAACTGTGCCTGTCATCTTGCTGCTTTCACCAACTTCTTCACCCATAATCACAAATTCCAAATTGTAGAGAAAGATCCAAACTTTGAAAAGAATAAGAAATTACCCAACTGAACCCTAGATTGGATTCCAAATAGAACTCCTAACTACACGAGGAAAGCGAGATCTTCAACGGCAACTTCAAACCCTAACTCCACCAAAGCCTAGAATTCCAAGAACCAAACTTCCAACTGAATCTTCCTCCACCTAATCCAAAACCCCAGATCTGAAATCTGAGCTCTGATACCACTTGTCGCGCGCCTATGCGGAAGCGTTGCACGCACACACAACGAACTTGTGATCACGGAAGAAGAAAGCCACACTCTTGCACAAATCAAGCCAATTACGATAAATCAAACCAAACACAGAGATATACGTGGTTCGGCAACTTGCCTACGTCCACGGGGAGAGGATGGGGAGATTTCACTAATTTAAGGAGAGTACAAAGGGTTACAATCACACAAAACTCTCAAACTAACCCTCAACCAAAGATCTCACCTTGCTCACAATATCTCCCTCTCACAATGCTCAAAAGATTCCTCAATCTCTGATAAAAAAACCCTAACAAATCGTTTTCCTATTTATATCAAAACAAAAACCCAATCAGAGTGCAAACACGAAACCTGATTATGCAAAATACCCGACGTAAGTCGACTTAACAGTCACCACAAGTCGACTTGGCAGAGAGAAAAACAGCAACTGGAGACCACTTCATAAGTCGACTTATCAGGCCTGATAAGTCGACTTGGCAGAGAGAAAAAAAACACAACTCCAGTGCAGATCGTAAGTCGACTTGTGCACACTGACAAGTCGACTTACCATAAGTCGACTTAGCCTTGTGCATGAGTCGACTTATACCAGAAAATCTGGTTTTTCTGATTTCTCCACATCTTCTCTATTAGTCTCGTGACCGGAAAGGGTTTGCTGCAGATATCATCTTTGTGCTTCCCCTGGACAACGCTAGGCTGCTAAAATATTAATCAAATTGAATAGATGTGAAGGCATAACCACATGCGCAGTTTTTTCTTTAATGAGGTGACCATGTGCCCTATGACAACGTGCCTCATCACCTGCCCTCTAGTATGCCTAGCAAAAATTTGCCTCCTCTGATCTCACCCCTCCCCCCACCCTAAATAAATTATTATTCAAATTTAGTCAAACCTTATACGTACAATCTAAGCTCAACTTGACATGTGATGTACCTGCAAAACAGGAAATTACTAAATTTGTTTTATTTGTTGCGTCGCAAAATTATAGTCGTCGGTTAACTTCGGTTCCACACAGCTACATGCATGGGACCCATACATGATACCAAGTCAGGGAGAAGTTAAAGAATCGAACCCTAAACGTATAGCTAAATTATCAGATTTGTATTTTTTTTAACTATCTGTTTGTCTTTTCGGATTAATTTTTCTTTTTGCTCCGATGATGTTTTGATATTTCTTTTGATCGCATATGCGATTAGATCAAAACTTTAAAGCAGGAAGAAAAAAAATTCGCGAAACCTTTCATGATGCTATTAGTGGTATCTTATTCACGGGAAAGTGATAGAAAATTATTTAGCATACTGTATATATAGTTAATAATTATGTCTGTTGAGTACATTACAAGGAGAGGGGAAAAAAATAGAAGGCATGATATTACCTCTAACTGTAGTGATAATTAAGAAAGTTTGGGAGGCAAAAAAAACTGCTAGAGAGACATATATATCACAGTTTTTTTCCTCACATTCAGCGACAGTTATTGTTATATTTCTACATTTGGCTCAGGGGAAAAAAACCAAAACAATGCCAGAGATAGAGGGGAAAAATTACAAAATTGATAAGAGGGACAATTTAGCACCCCTCACCCCTCCCACACAAATGCTTCTTTAAGGCGAGAGAGAGAGAGAGAGAGGGAGGGAGAGGGGGTGAGAGAGAGGGAGAGAGGGTTTTGGAATTTTAAAAGAGTGAGTTGGGAGCTCAAAGGGAGTGAGTTGGAATTTTAAAAGAGTGAGTTGGGAGAGAGAGAGAGAGGGAGAGCAGGCCATCTCATTTGAACTTAAAAGAGTGAGAGTTGGGAGCTCAAAGGGAAGTGATAATGGATTTCTTAGGAGTGATCCTTGGGTTGGGTTTTGGAATTTTATTTATTTATTATGCTTTGTTAAATTGGAATGAGATGAGATATAACAGGAAGAAGAAGGGTTTGCCTCCAGGGACCATGGGCTGGCCTGTGATTGGAGAAACTACCAGGTTTCTTAAGCAAGGGCCAGATTTCCTGAAGAATCAGAGGGCTAGGTGAGATTTTTGTCATTAAATAGTTTTTTGCTGAGTTGGGGTGAAGTTTGTAGCTAGGTTTGATTAAATTTGCAGTCATTTTTAGTAACATTATCTTGGTTTTTGTCCCCATCTTTTTCCTTTTTTTTTTACTTTTCTACTTTTGAATATTTGATGCCTGTAGGACTTTAGGGGACTCATTCTTGAAGTAGTAGATAATGGAAAGGGGGAGTTAGTCTGATTTGAGCTAGCTGGTTGTTTCTTGAGCCTGCAGTCCCTTTTCCAAATTGCATGGCAGAGAAAAAGGAATTCCTTACTCAACCAAGTACTTGAAGAACTTACATTTCGTACCAACATTACAGCCCTATTAATTGTCTCTATAGTCAACCAACCTTTCTTTTTAATGCATAATCTAAAGGCATAATTGCACTTAAATACCCTTTAGTTTCCCTGTCCTCGCAGTTAAATGCCTTATAGTTTCAAACTGAACTAAAAATGCCCGAAGTATTTAAGAAGTATTTAAGTTGTAGATGAATACCTCATAGTTTAAAAAAACGCTACCTTTTCTCTATGTTACATAACAGAGGTTAGTAAAATGAAGCTTTTAGAAACTTTAGGGTATTTAAGTGAGACCATTATAAACATTGGAGCATTTGTATGCAACATGGGTTAAACAAGAGGGTACCAACGTGCAACATTATGAAATTTTGAGACATTTATTTGCAAGACTTAAATACTTTGGGGTATTTTTTTTGTCCGGTTTTGAAATTTTGAGACATTTATTTGCAAGAGGGTACCAACATGCAACATTATGAAATTTTGAGAGGAATTCTGACATAAGATTTTGCTGAGGTGACAGCCAAATCCAATAATTTTCTTTAACAAGCTTCCCTCAAAACAATGTAGAAACTTTGACACACGGATTTGATTCCAATTAACGTATTAGTGTGGGACCGATTCGTTACACAAATCCTAAGGATTCTACCGAAACAAACAGACCATGATCTAGTAATCTACTCTCTCTCTCTCTATATATATATATATATATATATATAATATATATATAGAGAGAGAGAGAAATGGAAAAACTTGGTATCAAATTGCTCTATTGAACTTGGTACGTAGTAATGTGGCGTAGTAATGTGGATTAATCCGGTCCCTACATCTACATTGGAGTACGTGAAAAGTGGTTGATATTTTATTTTCGAGTAATGATGTAGGAGTCAGATCAGTCCACATCACTACTAAGTTCAATGGAGCAACTTGATACCAATGTTCTCCATTTTTATCATATATATATATATAATATGAGATTAATGGGTATCCTTGTCATAGGAGGGGATTTCCTTCTTGACGCCTCTAAAATCACATGATTGAGCGATATTGTGGATGATCCGCTCCGTTGAACTTGATCTACATATTCTAAAACCCCAACACACCAAGTTTGGGGTGAATCCGTCGTCGTTTGACCCTCCATCGAGCCATGTGAAAAGTTCTATTCATTCAAAACCGTTAAAATTGATACAAGTGGATAAAGGGTCAAACGACGACGGGTTCACCCCAAACTTGGTGTGTTGGGGTTTTAAAATATGTAGATCAAGTTCAACGGAGCGGATCATCCACAATGTCGCTCAATCATGTGATTTTAGAGGCGACAAGGAGGAAATCCCCTCCTATGACAAGGATACCCATTAATCTCTATATATATATGAGCTTATGTTAACTTAAGTGGATATGAGGCATTGTCCACCAAACTTTTTATCCACTCATCTTGTCTTTAGATTTGTGTCATCAATAGATGCGCAAATTTCAAAAGACTCTTCATATCTTTCACGGATCCCAAGGTAACATCAATGAATAAAAAAGTTGGTAGATGACTAGCTCCTATCCACTTAAATTTACATAAGATTCTCTCTATATATATATATATAGAGAGACATGAGAACTGTGGATTTTATGAAAAAGAAATGTCGGTTTACAGGTATGGGGCTTTATTCAAGTCACACATACTGGGAAGTCCAACAGTAGTGTGCATGGATCCGGAACTAAGCAGACACATCCTGATGAACGAAGGCAAGGGATTTGTACCTGGATACCCGCAGTCCATGATGGATATAATGGGGAAAAGCAACATCGCAGCAGTCACTGGCTCCCTCCACAAGACTATGAGGGCTTCGATACTCGGCCTTCTCGGCGCGTCTGTGATCAAAGGCCAGCTACTACCCAAGATTGACCAGTTCATGAGGTCCCACCTCCGCAGCTGGAGTCACGAGATCATAGACATTCAACAAAAGTCCAAGGAGGTGAAAATGAAAACACATAAGAAGTATATATAATTCTAATATAACATACAATTGTAGCTCTTTTAGTTTCAGATGAAAGTTACAGACGTAACTTTGTGTAGACATAGTAGTTAGGTTCAAGTATCACAAGTGGATAGAAGCACACTGACTTATTCTTGCATGTTTAGAGTTCATGATCCAGATTTCACTACATGTATTTTACATTTCTTTTGTTTTTTCGCTCTCAGATGGCATTTTTGTTAATGCTGAAGCAAGCTGCCAGCACTGAAACTAATCCATTTGCTGAAGCCATTAAAGCCGAGCTCTTTCAGCTTGTTCTCGGAACTTTCTCCTTACCCATCAATCTACCAGGCACTAACTATCATCGTGCTCTCGAGGTAGACTCAATTTCTCCACAACTAATCTATCATGCATCTATTCATCATCAATATTGTTTTGAGAATGGGGGAGGTGAAGAAACGGCGAAGAAGAACAGGAAATTTGAATTGCACAGGATAGGCTACGGGTCGGTTGACCGGGCCTATCGGTCGACCGACATACTGTTGGTTTACAGGGTCTGAAACTCTGGTCTGGTCGGTCGACCGAACGTATTTGACCTGTCGACCGAAAACGTGCACATTACAGGGATGAAATTTGTCTTTCTGGCCGATCGACCGCGAAGCGGTTATGGGCCAGATTTGGTTTTCCTGGTTGGTTTTGGATTGGGTGTTTGATATAAATACAAACACGTTTTTAGGGTTTCAATAGGAGATAATTAACAGTCTTTTAAGCACTTTGAGAGGGAGATATTGTGAGGGAGTTGAGAGCTTTTGTTAGGGTTATATTTGAGTGATTTTATGAGTTATAACCCGTTGTATTTCTCCTCCATATAGTAAAATCTCCCACATCCTCTTCCCGTGGACGTAGACAATTGCCGAACCACGTAAATTTCTGTGTTTGGTTTGATTTGTGTCGTATTTTGGTGAATTACACTCGTATTTGGTTTGGTTTTCTTCTCTTATCGCTTGCGGACTCGTTTGGTTGTCAAGCACGCTTCCGCACAGCATGCAACAATTGGTATCAGAGCTCTAGGATTTCAGATCTAGAGTTTTGGCATTGGGTAGAGGAAGATTCATTGTGGAAGCTTGGTTCTTAGAGTTCTAGGCTTCGGTGGAGATAGTGTTGTGGAGTTGCCGTTGGAGATCTCGCTTACCTCGTGTGATTAGGAGATCGTGT